GCCCTGAGACCCTTTAGTGATGTTGTGGTTCTCCTTTGTCACCAGCAGGTTTCTCAGCCCGTGTCCCCCCAGCTGGTCTCATCGGTGCGGTACTTCATCATGAAGAGCAGCAGCATCAGGAACATAGAGATTTCTCAGCAGAGAGGGATCTGGTCCACCACACCAAACAATGAGAGCAAACTCTCCAAGGCCTTCCTGGAGAACAACCTCATCATCCTCATCTTCTCTGTTCAGGGCTCTGGTCGCTTCCAGGTAACAGACTTAGGAACTGGCTCTCTAAAACCTGGTTCAGGCTTCACATCATCCGAGATCAGAGTTTATACCGTGTGTCTGAATCCTGACCCCTCTGTGAGGAACTGATGTATTCTGTCTGTCTCACAGGGCTACGCTCGCATGACATCAGTCATCAGTCAGGAGAGCTGTCAGGACTGGGGCTTCGTGGGACTGGGAGGGGTTTTCAGTGTGGAGTGGATCCACAAGGAGAGTCTCCCCTTCCAGTGCACCCAACACATCCTGAACCCCTGGAACGACAACAAGAAGGTCCAGATCAGCAGGGACGGACAGGTGAGGGTCTGAGTGTGAGTGGTCCCGGTGTGGACCTGCTCCCACAGTCGCCAGTAGACCTGAAGTATAAGAACCAGTTGGAAAGAAGAAGCTGTTCATAACAGATAGATAGATAGATAGATAGATAGATAGATAGATAGATAGATAGATAGATAGATAGATAGATAGATACTTTATTTATCCCCTAGGGGAAATTCATGTGTCCATTAGCTCATTGTTGTGTTGATAATGATAATAATAATAATAATAATGACAGTTGATAATAAATAAACAATAATAATTAGATTAGTCCACTTCCTTTGGCTGAGGTGTTGTATAGCCTGATGGCAGTGGGAACAAAGGATCTCCTGAACCTCTCTGTTCTGCAGCACAGTGAGATGAGATGTTTGCTTCTGTAGCTGCTTCTCTGTCCTGCCAGAATGTTGTGGAGAGGATGGTTGGTATTGTCCAAGATGGCCTCCATCTTACATTGCATGTCTCTCCACAACAGTCCTGAGTGAGTCCAGACTCCTGCCAAGCACAGACCCAGCCTTTTTGACCAGCTTGTCCGGTCTCCTTGTGTTCATGTCTGACATGCTGCTGCCCCAGCAGACTGCAGCATAAAAGAGTCCACTGGCCACCACTGACTGATAAAACATGTGCAGCATTTCACTGCAGACGTCAAAGGACCGGAGTCTCCTGAGGAAAAAGAGCCGGCTCTGCCCCTTCATCTGGTGGCATCTGTGTTCAGGGACCAGTCCAGTTTACTGTCACACCTAGGTTTTTATAAGTGTGCACCACCTCAATGTCCTTCCCTAGAATGTTGACTGCCTGAAGGGGCCTAGACCTCCAAAAGTCCATGACCATCTCCTTGGTCTTGGAGGTGTTCAGAAGGAGGCAGTCCCTGTCGCTCCATTCACTAAAGGCCATCGTCAGATCCTTGTACTCCTCTTCCTGCCCGTTACTGATACGCGCCACAATAGCTGTGTCATCCGAGTATTTCTGGATGTGGCAGGACTCAGAGTTGTATTTAAAGTTGGCCGTATACAGGGTGAACAGGAACGGAGCCAGAACAGTCCCCTGTGGAGCACTGGGGCTGTTTTAATGTTGTGGCTGTTTGGTGTATATTTATGGATTCGGGCTTCAGTGGATCAGACAAGGATTTCCATCAGTTCTGGATCGTGTCACAAACATAAAACAGCTGCTCTGTTCTTTCTACATATACGTGGGTCTGTTGTGGTGAAGCTACAGTGGTGCTTTGCATTAAATGTTGCTGAAGCAAGGAATTGTGGGACGGCATTATCTCCTTTGCTTTGGTGAAGGAAGCTCCAGTGTTTCCTTTGCTGAAGGAGATAAGATAGGAAGCACTGAAGCTCCTTTCCTCCTCATGTAGAGAAGTGGAGCAGCTGTGATCATGATGCTGCTCAGATACTTCAGCTCATTTCACTCAGTTTGAACCTTCATAAGAAAAAAGACTTTTCGACTGCAGCTTGTGTTTCTTTGTCTGTAGGTAAAGCACTTCCTTTCCTCTCATGTGAACCGTTTCCTGTCTGTTGTCTCTACAGGAGTTGGAGCCTCAGGTGGGCAGTCAGCTGCTGCTGCTGTGGGAGAGAAACTCTGGGAGTCAGTTCCAGTGAGAGGCATCAGCAGACTCACCAGGTTGTCTCCTGACACCCCCCCCCCCAACATTGTATATTGATAGAACCATATATTTTTCTATCAGTCAGAGTTTTTAGATATGAGCATGTTTTATTTCAGTCCGCTGCACTGCCAGTGACGGTACGAGGTTCGTACGTCTTCTCCTGCGTCTCTGTTTAATCTAGTTCAGTCTGTTCAAAGAGGAGGTTCTCCTTCAGTTTGTGTTCATCAGTCTGTTCAGTGAGAGTCTGTGGTTCTGTGAATGTTCTCCACAGGTATAGAACTAATCTGACAGAACTGATGAAGCGTGTTTTGACCTGATGACTACAGAAGCCCTGACAGTTCATTTCAGTTTTTATGTGTTTTATGTGTGTACTCTGTTTACAGTTGATGGACAGTGCTCCTCTGTACATCCACTAACATGGTTGTTGACTTGCTGTAAATGTTGTGTATGTTAAAGTTGTGTTGTGCTTCAGCACGGACCATACTAATTATTTATTAACTCATTTCAACAGAAAACACCTTCACACATGTTTCAGGTTTAAAACTGAAACTGAAGAATTGTGTGAGGTGAACAATGAACTGTGGACTGTTGAGTTAAGACATTGTATTGATGAGATGACAACAATAAATACTGATTTCATCTTAAGTCAGTGTGATGTCCTAACTGCTCGCTGACAGTGTCTCTGACTGTGCAGCTGCTACATGAAGGAGACAGGAGCAGATACATTAATCAGTGATTACCACACACTCACAAGACCCTACTATATTCTCGTTAAGAAGACCCCTGGTTATGTCGCCTTTACTCGTTTACACTGAACCAAACAACCCTGACATGATGCTGCTCCAGTGTGTGATGTTAGATCACAGACGGTGTTCAGGAATCAGAGGAGTGAAGTGTAACACAACAGTGTCAGCATCTGCTCCACCATGATAACGGCTCTCCCTTTACACAGATCCAGCAGTACCACTTTACAATAAGACTACCCTTATAAAGGATTTATAAATGGTTTATAATTTGGTTATTAATGTGGTTGTTAACACTATAAATCATAAATAAATATTAAAAAGAAGTCATAACAAGTTTCATATTTTGATGCAGGCTCAAGTTAATGCTTACTACTCATTAATCTTACTATTAGTATTTATAACTGGTAAAAGGAGCCTTACAGTAACTCATTAATAAATGATGTGTTTTACACTTTACAATAAGGCTCCTTTTACCAGTTATAAATGTTTGTAACTGATAAATAAATGGTTGTAAAAATGAGATGAAGATGATGGAGGGAGAATCACACAGATGTGAACAGTGGAGTGGGACAAAGAATGGGTGAGCAGTTCACCAGGTAAAGGAAGGTTACCACTTGTAAATTGAAGAGTATGTGGTCTGTTAAAGAGGCACCAGTTTTACACATAAAGGTCAGTTTCTAAATTTCACTAGGTGGGTTTCAGTCAGACTGGACCATCAGGGGGCAGCAGGTGAATCTCTAGCTCAGGTCTAACAGGACGTCCCTCCCTCAGCACTCGTCACTCAGAACAAGACCAGGTCTAAACCTGGTATCAGTCTGGAATAAAATCAAGCTGTTCTCATTGACATGTTTTTCTATTTCTGTTGACAGACAACGGAACAAGTTTGAAACGTGACTAAAACATTAAGACTACATGTTAACCAGCAGTCACTTCCAAGCTGCTAGATCTAGTGACGGAGGTGCTAAGTTGTTAGACTGCTCATTCCCAACAAAGCATTTTGAATTATAGGTCTGGTTCTGTGTAGTGGTCCAACCAAAGATAGAGAGTAAGACCAAGTTATAGAAACTAATGTGTAACTGCACAGAAGTTAATGTAACGGCAGCAAATACAAGCTAATGTACTGAAAAATCAAGTGAATACAAAAGTAGGCTACTAAATAAACTATAATGTTTGAAACAAAAGCTGTTGTATGTTATCTTATGTGTTCAATGTGAATGTGATGTGTATTAGAGTCAACTCAATGAAGACAAAATGTAACCTGTTGAAAAGCCTCAGGTGTGAGTGTGTGAGGGCAGGAAGGTTATGGACATTTCAATCAGCTGTGCAGCTGTCACAGTTTGAGTGTGTTCATTTTCCATAAGACCAAAACATTTACAGTGAGTCAGTGCGTGATCTGCAGAGTAACCACAGCAGTCAGGTAAACAGGTGGAGTAAAATGTTACACATCAAACTACACAGATACAACATGAAATGCATCAGAATCCCATAACATAATATTATATGTCTTAAAGAGCTCATTCTGTATTCTGTAATTATTGGGCTAAATTTACTTCTGATAGTCAAACTGAGCTCTGTGACTTTGACAGTCACTTTATGCAGAGGCTCTAGCCCAAGACACCCCGGAGCTCTTAACCCCAACCCTAACCATAAGTCACGATCACGGCACTGAAGAACAAGTACTTTTACTTTGATATTTTAGAACATTTAGCCGATAACATTTCTGTATTTTCACATTGTTGTTCTGCTGCATTAACGTGAGTAAAGTTATGTAAAGTTGTTCTTCATCACAGTTTCTACCTGACAGCAGAGACACTGACTGTGTGAATGGATACATGTTGCCATGGACACGCTGCTCTGTACCACTGCCGCGCCAGGAATTAATGTCACCATCTGATTGGCTCCTTCTCTCTCACCAGACATCGTACATGTCACGCCATTGGACCGCTGACGCGGCTCTGGCGCGTGGTTGTGATTCCTTAAATCCCATTGGACAGAAAGCTGCGGGACTTGGTAGCGCCGCATGTTGTGTGTGAGCTGTTATTGGACAGGAGACCAGGTGCTGTAGTCCAGGGTGTTCACCGCTCTGCCATCGTCATATATAAATACAGTAGTGCCGGCAGCTCACTAACAACAGCGGAGTAGTTACTGTCAGCGTCTGTCCACTTCACACACAGGTGAGAGGTTTTCACTATGCTTTTAATCTGAAAGTCAAGAGTGTTGTAGAGTCTAATTTTAACTGTCAACTCTGTCAACAGAGAATGTGTGTCTGTGTGTTTAACTTGAATCAGAGAGGTTGAATCATGCTTCACTAAGTTAGCTAGCACCTTTCTAACACCGCTGGTCTGCAAACACCGGAAGACACTGTCAGCTAACGTTAAATTCAGAGCTAAAGTCTGGCTACATGACCTGGATAGGAAGTGGGTCCGTCAGCTATTTGGTCCGGGTAGCCAACTCACTGTGGTTGAAGTCATGCTGTTGCTTCGTGTTATCACCTATCAGATTCAGCGAACTATTAGTTTCGGTGTCAAAATCCGGTGTCGTTGCTCCTTCAGGCAGTAAACTAGTCTTTCTTACACAACCGACCCCCCAATATGACAGTCTAACAGGCTACAGATTTCAGTCCCGGTCCTAAACGACTTAAGTTCCAGGAAATCCCGCTGCCCTTTCACCCAGTTTTAGTCTGTCTTTATCTGGTGTCTCCAAACACGAGCTGTATGTAGCTGTGTAGGTACGTGTAATAACCAGTGTGACAGCTAACAGCTAGCTGCCACACTTTACACTGTAGATGCCACAGTAAATAGCTAGCTTCAGTTTGGAAGAGACTCTACGTATGTCTTTTTAATTAGCTAACGCAAATAGCTTCCTTTGTGCACGTTGTCTTTTTGTTAGCTAAAAGCATGTGTTTGTTTTGTATGTTAACGTCAAGTAAAGCAGACAGATGATTATATCTCAATCACCACGATAAGTGTCATTACTAGGGCAACGATGTTAGCTAACATGCTAGCTGCCCACTGTTCTCTATAACCTTGTCTGATAGCTGTAACCTTACATCAGCTAGCTAAATAACATTAGCTTGAATATTTCTGAGCTGACAGTGGAACAACGACACAAACTTCATGTTAAACGCTAAATAACGTGTTGCTGTGAGACTCCAGTGGTATTAGCTTGGTTATAGGTATTAAAGTGCAGTCTCGTATATATAAATAACAGCTGTCCAATGGAAAAAAAAAGCTAGTCTCATTTTTAAAGTTATTCTGGGATGGCTGCTGCTGCTCTGGTGGTGCATTTATTTTAACATCCTGGATGGATGTAAATAGTGACTGGTATTACTGAAGTAACGTGCTCTTTAACCACTTAATGTGCTCTTTAACCTACATAATTTGCTCTTTAACCTACTTAATGTTATTACAGTGGTAAAGGTTTGAGAGCTGGCGGCTGTGCCTGTGTAGCTTTGATAGGTGGTGTGTCTGTACCACCCTTCTTTTCAGACCCCAGTCCAACATTAGCAGTCAGGAGACATTACAGGCTCTTGATTAAATACTGTGGACATGTAGAAACTGCAGTGCTCCAACACTAACAACAAACAAATCTGTCAAATTAATACAATGCTGAATGTGAACCCACTCCTCAGCCTGTTCAGGATGCCCGGATCAGCTCCAATCAGTTGTTTGGGACCATGGCCCAAAGACGTGGGTATCATTGCCATGGAACTGTACTTCCCGGCCCAGTATGTGGACCAGGCCGAGCTGGAGCAGTTTGACGGCGTGGCAGCTGGTAAATACACGGTGGGCCTGGGCCAAGCTCGCATGGGCTTCTGCTCTGACCGCGAGGACATCAACTCTCTGTGCCTGACTGTGGTCCAGAGGCTGATGGAGAGAAATGGCCTGTCCTACGACAGCGTGGGTCGACTGGAGGTCGGCACTGAGACCATCATTGACAAGTCCAAGTCTGTCAAAACCGTCATCATGCAGCTGTTTGAGGACTCGGGCAATACAGATGTGGAGGGCATTGACACCACAAATGCCTGCTATGGTGGAACAGCTGCACTCTTCAATGCTGTCAACTGGGTGGAGTCCAGCTCATGGGATGGTGAGTCAACAGTCCAGTGTCACTGTTGTTGATGTGTTTTCTAACTATTATTGTCATTCTTGATTAATCTGCTTGTTATTTCTGCAGTTATTTTCTTTATCAGTTGTTTTGAACATAAAACTCTTTTCCATTGTAATGTCTATAAGCCATAAATACTCAGTTCAGTGTTAATGACCCTGTAGATATGTAAAGATGGGATCTTCCCTACTGAATAAAAGATGTGGTCAGTCTGAACAATGCTCCCTCTCAGCAGTAGCAGTGACAGCATCAGTTTAATCTTAGGGAGAAGTTTTCATTCAGTTTTATCATTGACACCCTGACTGATCAGATTATATCTTTTAGCTGAGACATGTATTTAATCAGCTTTAACCAGTGTTAGACTGTGTGTTGCTGGGACAGATTTGTGTGAGACTGATGCTGCTGTGCTGATGATACAGTTTTACAGAGGAAATGTATGTGTGTATATTTCTTTAAAATGAGTCCTGCTGTTTATCTTATCCTCTCTGCAGGACGTTATGCTTTGGTGGTAGCAGGGGATATTGCTGTCTACGCCACAGGAAGTGCCAGGCCTACAGGGGGGGCTGGTGCAGTGGCCATGCTGATTGGACCAAATGCTCCTCTGGCCTTTGAACGAGGTCAGTTCACTGATAACTGTTTGCCTCTTGTGGACTCTTCAGTGACCGATGTATTGATAAGAGCCCACTGTCACTCAGCTGATTGAATGTTTACTGCTGAATGAACTGTTGTACCAAGTCACTGAAGTTTGGATTTGGATTCAGCTGCTGTTGACATGTGGAAATCAATGAGAGCTGTGCTTGTTTACACTGTGCACTGGTGACATTAGTATGTTGTAATGAGGTGTTGAACTTTACTTCTAAACACCAGAGAGTATCACAGTCATTCTGTTTATCACAGCAGGCCTTTATGTGATGTTTTTAAATGTATCCAGCTCAGTCTGTGTGTTTAATGTGTTTGACACCTGCTTTGGTGCAGGTCTGCGAGGGACCCACATGCAGCATGCATATGACTTCTACAAGCCAGACCTGGTGTCAGAGTACCCTGTGGTGGACGGGAAGCTGTCGATAGAGTGCTACCTGAGTGCCTTGGACCGCTGCTACTCTGTGTATCGCAACAAGATCCACGCTCAGTGGCAGAGAGGTGGGTGGAGACTGATCTATGAAGGCTTGTTTTTATATTCCTCTCAGATCAGCTGCTTGTTAGGTGAAGAGGTGTCAGAGGTCAACTTAGCACCTGAGGTGTATAGGTGTGTTCCACACTCGTCTACTAAATGACACCTTCAGTAGTCATCATCAGTACTGGCTGAAGAGGTGTAGGCTGAAGCTACAGCTTATTACACCGCCCCTCTCTATGTAACGTTACATGAAACAGCAACCCTCTCACTACAGGCCAATTCATGGTCAGAGAAAATCGGAATGAGGAGAAGCAGAAACAGAAAGAAACTTTTCACCACTAAGATTAGACACCAAACTATTTACAAACAGAAACTAAACAAGAGGCAAGACGAGGAGTTCCAGTGTGTCAAACATACAAATACCAGAAGAGAGAAAATACGAAAAAAGTAAATAAAGATCTTCTCTGCTACATTCATGATAATAATCATATCTCAGTTTTATATTTATTTTTCACCATATTTTTAAACATTTGTCTTAATTTACCAAGTGAACTACACATTCTTAATACATTATCACAATTCATCCACAGGTTTACCCCTTTGACAGATGTGCATCTTCTTTTTAGATTGGTCCTGGCCCACCCCCCCCCTAATGTTAGTAAAGCTCAAATATATCAGGAGGCCTTTTTAAAACACCTGCAGACACAGATCTAAGATGTGTCTTCTTTATATCAGGTGGTCAGAGTACCTCAGGTGCTCAGTCAGACCCATGAGGGGAGTGCAGTGGAGGGACTGGATGGATAACAGTCTAATGAGTTAAGAGGGTTTAGGACATTACCTGTTTGCTGTGCTAAGAAGTTTACTTAAGTTCAGTGACCATGAAGTGGTTTAATGAGATGAGCCTTTAACCTGATGTGTCAACATGTTCATTTTCAAGAACATCAGGTATTAAACACACATTCATAAGCAGCGCTGCATGTCCAGCTCTACATATGTAATGTGTTTCCATGACAACACAGAGGCGGAGGTTGTGTTGGTATGTTCCTCACCTTCAAATGAACTTTGTCACTTTGGTATTTTTGTACCTGGTGCAGAGGTGGGAGGAGACAAACATGTGTTGTGTGTTTCTCATTGCACTGTGCAACGGTGCCAGTGAGACAGATCAGTGTGTCAGGAGTTCTTCAGACCAAACGGTCTCTGTGGTCTCATCATTCTTGTTCGTCTTCTCAACAGACGGATCAGAGAAGCTCTTCAGCCTGGAGGACTTTGGTTACCTGGTCTTTCACTCTCCATACTGTAAACTGGTGCAGAAGTCGTTGGCCAGACTGATGCTGAACGACTTCCTGAGCCACCCCAGCCCCAACACCGAGACGGGACCCTTCACAGGCCTCGATGCCTTCAGGTACACTCAGAGGAAAGCAGCTGCACAGAGACGCAGTTCTGGTCCTGATAAAGGATCTCCTCATTAAAGGAGCACTCCCACATTTTGGAAAGTGGACTTGTAGAGTAAAGACAGAGCTGAAGTGGTCCGTCAGGACCTGACAGCTCAGACGTGTTAAACCTGCTCAGTTACGTTAAAGCAGAGAAGTAGTCCCTGTGAAAACCGTCAGTCATGTTCTGTAGATTAAAGTCATCAGGACACTGTTGATGTTACTGTTGACTTTTTAATTCAGATTTCATTGACCTCTGCTGTATCAGGGTGGATCAGGAAAATCGGAGAGAAAATAAAAACAAAACTAGATATGAAACCTCAACAACTTAGTTATTCTGTGGCAATACAAACAAAACCTGTTGTTTCTGGTATTCTGTTGTTTATCGAGTGTCTGTGTCTGTATGGCAGAGACATACGGCCTGAGGAGACCTACTTTGACCGGGATGTGGAGAAGGCCTTCATGAAGGCCAGTGCAGATCTGTTTGAGAGGAAGACCAAACCCTCCCTGCTGATCTCCAACCAGAACGGGAACATGTACACCCCCTCAGTCTACGGCTGCCTGGCTTCACTCATCGCACAGTGAGTCTGACTGTCATTCATTCATTCATTTATTCATTCATAAATTTGTATGTATTCAGGGAGGGGATTAACAAGGACGTCAAAGTCATTCCCTTCAGGAATCAGTGATGTCATTAAAACAACAACATCATCTCTCAGCAGAGAAACACACATATGAACAAACGCTTTAAAATGAAAATCCAGTGAACACTGAACCATGACAGATGTGACACTCAGGGCAAGACAAGTCACAGCAGGTTTATTTTTATTAGTTTAGTTGATCTGTCAATGAGAGAGGACCCTAGTTACATGGACCTGCACAATGTCAAGGACAACACAACAAAGTCCTGGACTTGTTTCCATGGTGGTTCTTGATGTGGGTCTAGACCACCAGCTTATTATCACTGCAGCTCACTGTTACTTGACTAAAGAGGAAGTTACACCTCAGGTTTTTAGCAGAGTCACTAGAAGCTGTAAAATGACCTGGTACACAGTGAGGTGCTGTTGAAACAGCAGTGTCAGTGTTGTGTCAGCAGAGTGTGTGTTGTCTCTGTTACAGACACACACCCTCACAGATAGCAGGACAGAGGATCGGGGTTTTCTCCTACGGTTCAGGATTTGCTGCGACGCTGTACTCTGTCAGAGTGACACAGGACCACACACCTGGTGAGTCGGCCTCAGTTACCCTCAGCTGTGTGACGTGGATGGAAGTCCAACATAAACTAACGGTAGTGTGTTCTTCTGTTGGTTGCGGCAGGATCTGGTCTGGACAAACTGGTGTCCAGCCTCAGTGACCTGAAGGTCCGACTGGACTCCAGGACGAAGGTTTCACCTGCCGTCTTCTCTGAGAACATGAAGCTGAGGGAGGAGACTCACCACCTAGGTATGACCTGCTGCTCTCATTGGTGGGTTACAGTGACAGTAAATCAGTCTGTCAGGAAGCTTTAACTCCCCACTTTCACCAGGTGTTTGCTCAGGGGGATGTTAGGGGATAACATTATAAAGAGTCTTTACTGAGCCTGAGCATCAAAGTCTAACCCGTCATAAACTGCTCTAGTCCGGAGTCCTGTCCCAGTGAAGAACACTGCTCTGGTTCTCACTGTTCTAACTCCTGACCTGATACTCAGTTTCACTTCCTGCTGTCACTGATCATTGCTGTCTCTCTCTGTCCTGCAGCCAGCTATGTCCCCCGAGGCTCAGTGGACGAGCTGTTCCCAGGGACCTGGTACCTGACGCGAGTGGACGACAAACACCGCAGGGAATACGCCCGCAGACCTCTGAGCCATAACCTGCCGGCAGAACCAGAACTTGTTCGCACCAGCACGGCCACTGAGGTACAGGAGGAGTAAATGTTTATATCTCATTATATCTGATAAGGATGGGAGGGACATACACAGCTCCTACACCTGCGCATGCAGTAGATGACCAGCAGGGGGTAGTAGCAGTGGGTGAAAATCTTTCCAGGCTCTAGGCTGTTCACTGAGGGTTGAACCTCAGTGGTTTGGACCAATCAGCATGCTCTGAGGGAGGAGCAACTGGCAGCTACAGGGAAGGGACTGTTTTTAGTTTTAGTAAGAGAGACTTTAACGCACAAAGTATCCTCACAAAGGCAAGAATCATCTAGCAACATGCTAATGCTAACGAGCTGTCAGAGCTCGTCAGGCTGAGCACCAGCTCAAGTATCACAATATTCTATGTTATTCTATGTGACCAGAGTCCTCTCTCATTGTCTTAGATAAACTAAACTAATAAAAATAAATCTGCTATGTTTTTCCTCCTCAGCACATCCCCAGTCCAGCCAAGAAGATGCCTCGCATCCCTGCAGCCAGCTCCAGCCCCGAGGCCACCGTCAGCAACTGAGAGCACTTAGCTAACCTCTGAGAGGTATCAGACAGCACTAGAGGTCAGAGGTCACCTCGAAAATCATTGTATGTTAAACTAAATTAGGTCGGATCAGTGAGTCATGCCTGTGGACAGATGCTTCTGTCCTGCCTGTACCCTTCCCATGATGCCCTGCTGTCCAGTCTGTCTCCATCACCACAGTTTGTTTTAACCTTTATTTAAAGTTTACTTTTTTACATGTTCTCCCTTTGCATTAGTGTATAATGGACAGATGTTTATCTGGGAGGGGCACAGGCAGATGTTTGGGAGCAGACTTCCTGCTGGCAGCTGGCAGCCAGAGACAGGAAGAGGAAATGACCATAATTAGTGTGGCCTCAGGCCTTCTGCTGATTAAAGAACAAAGGGAAGTGGGCCTCAACCGTGTTTATGTATCAGAGTGCTGGTGCTGCTGCTGCCACTGCTGCCACGGCAACCCAGCGAGAGACAGAGCTCACACCCCCACCCTGCTGTTTGTGTTCAATACCTCAGTTTTCTATAAGGAGATCAGTTCCTACAGGACTACAGACCCCAGGAGCAGCTGATGCTCCACCTGTAGCCAAGCTGACATAGTCACAGTCTGCTCCATAGGAACATGTTAACACTGAAGCTGCTCTGAGTTACTCTGATGTTGGTTTCTCTGTTTTTAAGAAAAGTCTAAACCCACTGAGGAAGACGCTGCTGCTCCTCATCAGTTCTGACTGTTTGTGATAGCAGTGTGAGGAGATGAGACCTCACCTGGTTATTGATGAATTAATTGTCAGTGTTTAAGAGTGAATCCATCATGTGATCAAACATCCTCTGGTTTCAGCTTCTCAGCAGCTGCTCAGTTAAACTGATGGTGAACTGAATCTGTGTGGACCGGTGATGTCAGGGTCTGCGTCAGGATCAGAAAGTGTAGATATTAACAGGATATTTGAATGTTGATTATGATGATTAGTTGATTATAGAAGATTATATTAATTATTGGTTGCTGCCAAATTTTTTCCAAACCACAACAAATGTGTTTTCTTCTTCACTGCCACACATACAGTAACAGTTCATCACCATGGAGACAGTGAACCAACATCAGTGGGTTTAGATTTTTCTGTGTCTCATCTTAAAAGGTTCAACATGCATCAATTCAGTATTGACAGCCAAGCTCTGAGGATGATGAGGATGTTTGGACTTGACTCACATGTTTAAGTGACCTGATGTCACATGACATCCTCTACTGAGGTGAGGGGCTGCTCATCATCACAATCACAAACTGGAAACAGGCGTGAATATGACCTGTGTCGTCTGTGTGTTTACTTCCTGTATGAACTGACAGATGTCAGTTCCTCACTTGTCCCATGATGCAGCACTGCTGCAGGTTTTACTCCACACGTGGTGGAGAGCTGAGGTACCAGAGAATCCAGATCATCGGCGGCTCTGCTTCCTTCAGCCTGTGAAGCAGCAGCAGTCACTGTTGACTGTGCAGAGTCGGTCAGAGCAGGTTCGTATACTACATCAGACTGTTGCTTCAGGACTTCAGTGATGGTTCCAGTCTGACTCTGGTCTCTGTTCATCTCACCAAACAGCCACAGCTTCACAGCTGTGGCTGTGATCCAGTGTTTTGGCTCCTCATCACAGTCCATCACATTCATACTGAAGCCTTAAAGTCAAAGGGCTTAGCTCCAGGTTCAGGTCCTATCATCACACTAGTTCTTGTTTTTCTCAGTGTGGTTGTTCTTCCTGTTTTAACACTGACACTGGTTTGACTGTGGCTCCAGTCAGCAACATAAACAGGCAGAAAACAACAGCCTTAGATAACTGTTGGTGTTCTCCTGGTCCTGGTTGGATCAGCTGGTAGCCGGGCTCACTGGAGTCTGGACTATTGACGTCCAGGTGACCACGTTGAGAAGCCTTACAACAAACATGTATGACCTGTAAACAGAATCATGTACAGATGTTTTTAAATGTACAGTCAGACCTGGTTCCTCTGAGGTCAGACCCTGCTCTCACACACACACACGTAAAGAGTGTGTGTGTGTGTGGGGGGGGACCCGTCTCAGAGTCACATGATCTTTACCTGTGTTGATGGTAATGTACAAACTGTAAGATTATTTATGCTGTATAGATATCTCATCTGATGACACTTTGTGTAAATGTGTAGATTCAGAATAAATGAACTTCACACACAGTCTGTGTAGAATTACTTTTATCAATAAATCATGAAATCATGAGCGCACACACACAGGTCTGCAGGTGAGATCTTACCTCATCACCTACACTCTTTAAAACTACATAATAAATACTGTATGGGCCTCAACATTTATCAGCCACACCATCATCTGTACCCAGGCAGCCTGAGCAGCTCCACTCAGCTGCGAACCAGCAGAACCTATTAGCAGGGCCACCTGTGAATGTGGTCAGTCTGCAGAACCCACAGATCGTGACTGAAGAACCTTTCAAACCCCTCAGGTTACAGAGAAGCTCAAACATCATACAACATAAACCCACTCAGTATGATAAGCAAGTGTATATGAACAGCTGCATACATCAGGGTGGAGTCATCATCGCTGCTACACAGGTAAACATCACTCTTACAAGTGCAGGGTTCCTCTGAAAACTCTGAAATCATAAGATTGTCTTCATCTTCTTTATGTAACAGATTTAATCACAGTCATGAATATATTGTCAGGATAATGTGTCTGTCAAATAGCTGATTGGATCCCCATACAGGGTCAGGCCGGCCCTGGGTGGGGGCAGCAGGTAGCTTAGTCTCTACACCTGAGCTGCAGCTCCTCATGGTGAGTGGTTGGTTAGTGAGGAAGATGATGAGGTGAGTGAGTGGGAAGAGGAGATGAGTGGGAGGTGAGTCATGAAAGTGAACAGTCATAAGAGAAAGGGAAAAAAAAAGGCATCAATCAGAGGTGGATCAGAGCGTGAGGGAAGAGAGGATGAGGAGAAGGAAACAAGGGCAGGACTGAGAAATGTAGAGATGAGATTTAAGGGAAAAAAGAAAGTTGCAGGACAAGTTGAGGACGTCAAATATATTAGAGTTTGAGAAGATGGAAAGATGTTAATAGGATGCAACAGTGAAGTGCATGTGGAGAAGACAAATGCAGACACAGGTGAAGGCTGGCAGGTGTAATGAAAGTAAAGAAGACCAAAACTCACAGACCAGAGGAAACACTGCAAAAAAAAAAAAAAAAAAACCCAACATGGAGCAGGAACACAACGAGAAAATCCAAACTCAGGAAGCAGCTGGGAACACGAGAACTGAAGAGAACTGGAACACAGAGACTAAAAACACAGGTGAGGCAGAAATAACTTGACACAGGTGAAACACATCGGGGTGGTGCAGACAATCACAAGAGCGGGAAACTAGACAGGAAGTACAGACACACAAGGTAAATCCTATCAAAATAAAACGGGAGATGATAAACAAAGCGTCACTGACATGGGCAGATGTGACATAGAAGAGAATAAAGACCAAAACCTCTAAGGTGTTTCAGGAGTTTGGAGATGAGACTGAAGGAAAGAGAAGAAGAGATTGGTGCGTAGAGGGAGGGAGGGAGGCCAAAGTGTTTTACAGTGAGTGTGGAGGGGATCGGAGAGTAGATTAGTGAGTGGGGGTGTGAAGTGTTGGAAAAAGAGGTGGAGGAGAAAGTCTCATATGCTGAGGCTGTTAAACAAAAACAGAATAAGGAGGGAGGATGTAACAAAGAACAACCGACAGTTAAAGAAGAACATGATGAGAAGTTGAACAAGGAGAGAGTTTTCTAACAGAAGAGATGAAAGGGAGATCAGATCTAAGACTGAGAGGATTCAGGTCCGTGTGAAGGCTGCAGAGCATCATTCAGATATGAAGAGGGAAGCAGTAAATGATGAACTCTGGATACAGTCAGGAGATGACACGTGTGGCTGGATAATACTAATGATTTCTTTTCATGTTTATGAGGACAGTGTGTCACTTCTGTAAAAAATGGAGTGGTCACATGGTCTCAGTGTTTTTTTCTGATGCTGAAATCAGAAATTCATCGTTCCATAACATCAAACTGGTCTTAATGGGAATGGGAGGGAAAATATTCAGTCAAGGTGAAGACAGGTCAGCCGTCAGGTCAATGACAGGACTCCTCAGGGAGTGTATGAGGTCTAGTTTATTTCCACTATGATAAATGATGTATTGTAAATACTCCAGTGGACAGAGGCAGATCAGTGTCTGTGCATGATGAGACTTTGTGGAGAAGTTTTAAGAAACTGCAATAATCAAGTTGAAAAATGAGAAACAAAACATGGATTTAAGTTTTCAGTGGAAAAAACTAAAGCTATGTTCTTCACAAGAAAGGGAGTCAGGGAATCTAATGTGAAACTAATGGAAATAAGTTTTAGACTAAGGTTAGTATTGCATGTGGATCAGCAGCACAGTCTGAGCTACAGACCTGGATGTTCTGCAGACTCAGCTCGCAGAATGTTTATCAGCATTCAGGATTTCCTCAGTGTGTTCAGTCCGAGGTGAAGCAGGTGAAATGTCATCGTGGTCAGAAGCAGCTGGTGACTAATTACTGGGTCACCCTGAGGCTGCGTGGAGACGGTGATCCAACAGAAAGTCTGCTGCAGACATGATGGGAAAAGGAGAGGACGGTCTGGGCTGGATAGGAATCAAATGACAGAAGATATGAGATGAAGAGTTTGTCTGGGTTTTAGAAAATCATGTGGGACATTGATCCTGAATTACTGAGGGTTCAGCACAGTTATAAGACTATATATTAGTATCAAAGGTGGACAGCAACAAAGTACATTAACTTGAGTACTATACTAAAGTACATTTTTTGAGTATCTGTACTGTACTGTTCTATCTTGTACTTGAGTATTATTTTATTTCTAAACTTCTGACTTTTACTCCACTACACTTGAAGACAATTATAGTACTTTTTACTCCTCTACATTTCCATGTAGTACTCTTACTTTGAAGCAGCTTTTAGTCAGTGAATGAATTTTATTTTATTCTGAAAATGTGATAGACCATACACTGTGTTCATCACAGGAGAAAAACCATTTACAGCCAACTCACTGTCAGTCATGTTTGAACCTGTCAGTGTCCCAATGATGAGAACGTTGGATAAAAATGAGGCAGAAGATTCTTCACCAGAGACCATAGTCTAATCTGAAGTCTGTGTTTGAAGGTTTAAAAGAAAGATTCATTTAGTTTGAAATGTTTGCTGTGTTCATCACGACCAGACTTCATCACTGACTAAAATAAAGAAATACAAAAATGCCAGTGGGTCCTGTGGCTGATTCAGTTGTTTTTATGGTCATTTATATCGTATCCTACAAGCTTTTTATTCTACAGGTTCTACAGTCAGTCAATCAGCCAGTCAGTCAGTAGGTTGTTTCAGAGTCATTATGTTCTGCAAATGTGGAACAATACAACAATGTTTTGACATAATGTACTTTTGAATACTTTAGTATTTTTTAAGATCAAGTACTCCAGTAATTTAACTCCAGTAAAAATCTGACTGAACAACTTTCACTTGTATTGGAGTCATATTTGACCGGGAGGATCTAAAGGAGCTATGTACTTTGTCCACCTTTGATTACCATAGTAGCATGGACTGTAAATTTACAGGCAGTTCAGACTTAGACAGACGATCAAAGGTTACTGAGTGGGAGTTAATAAGAGAACGTCTGACTGTTATAATCATATATCATGTTGATGGAGTTAGAATGGACTGAACAGGACAGTTACAGTCTTATAGTCAGGACACAGCTTCAGTCCTGTGGAGGGTCTGGAGGTCAGAGGTCAGAGCAGGAAACACATCACTGAGTAATCGAAGCAGTAAATAACAACAGGTTCACTGAGTGAGAGCTGCTGCTGTTCTCCAGACACCTCCCTGTCTCCACCACCGGATGGTGCCAAAATAATGAACTTTGAAATCTTACACTGGAGCTCAGTGAGCTGCAACCAATTATAATTCATTATTAATCTATCTGACAGTCGTTTTCTGAATTAGTGGATTCCATGTTTAGTCTATGAAATATTAAAAAATAATGAAAATGGCACTCACAGTTTCTCAGAGGTCAACTAACAGTTCAGACCCCTCAGATAATCAGTTTAATGTCATGTATGACAACAGATTTGACAGACTGGGACCAGGAAATACTGAAAGAATGAATCAATTATCAAAACAGACCCTGTTGCTCAATCAATCTTCCAATAGTTTTATCTCTAGTTCTGATACTATTGGAGTTGCTGTTTGTTTAGATGATCTGTCACTTTAATTAACTAGTCTAATATTGATTAAGGTCATATGACTGTATTAAATGCTGTTCTACTCTATAATCTTTTATATCTAACACCTGCTACAAACACCAGCAGCAGTCACTGAACAGTTGTTCACAGTTTATCACAGGAAACACCGAATCTTAACCGTATTCAGAGACTATAATAAAGTGATGGAGTTCACCTCAAAGATTTTAGTTCTCTAACTCAGCCCTGACACCGACTCTGTATTGAAGGTTCATAAATGAGTTTATTATCAGTGTTTTATTAACAGTGTATTATCTGAATCAGCTGACAGGAAAATGTGATCTACAAGAATTCAGAGAAGAAATTTATATTTTCTCCTTCAAGAGAAATCCAGAGAAGTGAGCTCCTGAACCACATCTGTTCCTCCACTGATGTCTTAGATAAACCGTTTATTGTGAGAACAGCTCCTGGGTCAGGGACACTTTACAGGTTTTCTTCCACTGTGAATCTGTGCAGGATTTTATGTTTATGTTAAAACTGAGGACTATGGGAGAAACACTGAAACGTTCTGTTAAATAACTAAGATGTTATTCATAGATGTGAATCCCTAAAGGTGCAGCCCCAAACAGAGGGAGGAGGTGAACAGATCTACCTGAATAGAAGGACAGAGAAGCCCTGAAACCCGAACCCTCTTTTCTGAGTCCTCTCCTCTGTCTTTCGTACAGTTCAACATGAATGTTCACTGGAGCTGTGTAACGGAACTATGCCTTAAAAGTGTGTGTTTGAATTCTCTACAAAAGAAGAGAGAGGGAGAGTGGAAGACCCGCCCGCCACAGAGCAGCAGTCCACTACAGGCTCCACAGCAGCGGACACCGCCCCGCACCGCGCGACGCACCCAGCCAGGGTGGAGTTTAAGCAGCCGCAGAGCCCAGAGCGGATA